CCCCTCTGCACCGACCCTCCCTCCAACAGCGTGGCACTCCCCTCCACACCGACCCTCCCTCCGCACCGACCCTCCCTTCGACAGCACGGCACTCCCCTCTGCACTGACCCTCCCTCCAGCAGCACAGTGCTCCCGTCCACACCGACCCTCCCTCTGACAGCACGGCACTCCTCTCTGCACCAACCCTCTCTCCAATAGCATGCTGCTCCCCTCTGCACCGACCCTCCAATAGCATGGCGCTCCCCTCCGCACCGACCCTCCAATAGTGCAGTACTTCTTTGTCTCTGATTCATGTACTTGGATATCTAAAGTGTTGAAGCACAGGTACAGCGAGTGACTGGGAAGGTAAGTGGAATGTTGGCCTTATTGAAAGGGGAATGGAGTGTAACAGTAGGATGGACTCACTGCATTGGTGAGATTATACCTAGAGTACAGTGTGCAGTTTTGGAATTCTTGTTCGAGGAATGATACTGTGGTAACAGGAGCACCTTAGAGACTGGCAACCCTGCAGTTAGCAAACCACTCCTGTCTCCCCCAGGCCTGTAACTCTCCTCCTGTCTTCCCCAGGCCTGTAACTCTCCTCCTGTCTTCTCCCAAGCTGACCCGTTATCCTGAGGTATTTGCACACGAGAAGCTGCATATAATCTCTGGCAGGGCCCTGTTCATGGCAAACAGAAAGGCCATATCTTCACAGTGTGCTTTTCACATGAAAACAGAATCTTGGATGACAGCCTTCCCTAATCAACGCTAACTTTGAATTTAAATCCAATTTCGGCGGTAAACTGCTTCCTGCAGCATTCTCTACCAGAGTCCACACGTCAACCAACCGACACCCTTCTCCCATGCAATAGAAATTGTTCAGCCCTTCGTGATTTGGCATTCTTGTGATTCTGTACTGATAATTTAACAAGGGAACAATAGAGTCAAAATGACTTTTTTTTTCAGCCATGCTCAAATTCTGCACCACCAAGTGACAAGTTGATGCACTTTCCCATGAAGTACAGGGACCACGTGGTCAGGGAGGAACCCAGAAAGTTGTGTGTACTGCTCCCACTCCAGGTTGGAGGGTTGTTACTTTTTGCCATTGCCTTCAGTGGGCCGTAAAAGTCATGTGATGTGCACAAGACAAATTTAAACACAAACCTTGCCTACCTTCTTTGACTGGTCAAGGAAGGCCTGCTTGATCTGCTTAAGAGTTGCGTCGGGCTGGATGCCAAGGACGGTGTAATAATCCTCGCCACTAAACCTGGCCGAGACAGAAAACACGAAAGCACAGTGTTTATTACCATGGGTTGTTCCACTGCAATTCTACAAGGGTTGGGCAATGGTCTGATAATTTGAATGAACTGCAACGGCAAGGGTCTTTGAGGCAGAAAGCCCAACTACCACCAACACATACAGTCACAGAGATATACAGCACAGAAACAGACCCTGCAGTCCAACTTGCCGATGCCAACCAGATATCATGGTTAATCCAGTCCCGTTTGGCCCAATCCCTCTAAACCCTTCCTATCCATATACCCATCCAGAAGCCTTTTAAATGTTGTAATTGTACCAGCCTCCACCACTTCCTCTGGCAGCTCATTCCATACAAGCACCACCCTCTGCATGAAAACATTGCCCCTTAGCTCCCTATTAAATCTTTCTCCTCTCGCTTTAAACCTATGCCCTCCAGTTTTGGACTCCCACACCTTGGGGAAAAGACCTTGGCTGTTCACCCTATCCATGCCCCTCATGATTTTATAAACCTCTATAAGGTCACCCCTCAGCCTCCAATGCTCCAGGAAAAATAGCCCCAGCCTATTCAGCCTCTCCCTTTAGCTCAAACCCTCCAACGTCCTTGTAAATCTTTTCCGCACCCTCTCAAGTTTCACAACTTCCTTCCTACAACAGTGAGACCAGAATTGAAAGCAGTATTCCCAAAGTGGCCTCACCAATGTCCTGTACAGCCACAACATGACCTCCCAACTCCTATACTCAACACACAGACCAATAAAGGCAAGTGTACCAAATGCCTTCTTCACTATCCTGTCTACCTATGATTCTGCTTTCAAGGAACTATGAACCTGTACCCCATTGTCATATGACATATGTCTTTTCCCAAGTATAGCTAAGAATCAGTTGCTCTTCCTCAGGGACTGAGATGGGGTGATGAGAAGTCAGGCAGCTCTTCATCACTTCAAAAGGCCAGCTCAAGAACAGTTTGGCTAATTTGGGAAACAAACCAATACAGGGAGGGGTGTAGGGGCTGGAGGGAGTGACAGAGATAGGGAGGGGTGTAGGGGGTTGGAGGTGGTGATAGAGATAGGGAGGGGTGTAGAGGCTGGAGGAGATTATAGAAATAAGAAAGGAATTAGGAGCTGTGCCTGTATTCATACAAATCTTCATCATTACACTGGAGAGGGTGTAGAGGAGATTTCTAAGGATGGTGTCTAAACTGGAGAATGTTAGCATTGAAGAGAGACCATACATTCTAGGATAAGGACACAAAATGCTGGAGAAACTCAAGAGGTCTGGCAACATTTGCACAGAGAGAAACAGAGCAACTACATTTTCACATAGTTACATAGCTATTAGGGGACAGAGGGACACTATTCAGTTGATCATGCCTGTAGCAACTCTTCAAATGAGCGTCATTGCCTGGTGCCAGTCTCCTACTTGTTCCTCAAACCCTTGCACATCATGTTTATCCAATTATCTGACGCTCTCTCAACTGCCTCAATTGAACCTACCTCCACCATATATCCAGGCAATACCCTAATTACTCGCTGAGGGAAAAGGTTTTTTCTCCCATCACCTTTGCTTCTTTCGCAGACCACTCTAAATCTATGCGCTCTCCTTCTTGTTCCTTTTACGAGTAGGAACAGCTTCTTCTTATCCACTCTGTCCGGTCCCACTCATGGTTTTGGAAACCTCCATCAGGTCCCCTATTGGTCTTCTTCTCTCCAAGGTGAACAGTCCCAACTCCTTCAACTTATCCTCCCAAGTTTCTCATCCCTGAAACCATTCTTGTAAATCATTTCTGTACTCTCTCTAATGTATTCACATCTTTCTTATAATGTGGCACCCACAACTGTACACGACACTCCAAGATGAGATCTAACAAGTGTCTTCAATATCACCTCCTTACTCTTGTACTCTGTGCCCCCATTAATAAAGCCAAGGCTATTCCATGCTTTATTGACTGCTCTGTTTCCACATGTCATGCCACCTTCAGGGATCTGTGCAAGTATACACCCAGCTCCCTCTGCTACTACAGCCTCTTTAGAATCATACCCATTATTTTGTATTGTCTTTCAATTTTCTTCCTACTGAAGTGCATCACTGCACACTTCTCTGCATTGAACCCCATCTGCCATCTATCTGCCCTTTCCACCAACTTGTCAATCTCCTTTTGGAGTTCTGCACTGTCCTCGTCACAGTTTACAATCCTTCTGAGATTTTTTTCATCTGCAAACTTTGAAACTGTCCCCTGCACACGAAGATCCAAATTATTAATATATATCAGGAAAAGCAAGGGCCTCAATAGTGACCCCTGGAGAATTCCAGTGCAAAACATCCTCCAGCCCAAAAAATATCCATTGCCCGTTACTCTCTGTTTCCAGTCACTCAGCCAATATTGTGCATAGTTTTGAGTCCGATATGACTCTTATTCTTTGCGACACAGAAGACTGAAGGGAGATCCAACTGAAATATGTGAACTTATAAGTGGCCTAGATTGAGTGAACAGGAAGGCAATACACCTCTTACTCAAAGATGCATTTTTTGGGGGTGGAGGTATAAATTTAAGAGTGGATTGAAGATTAAATGTTTTCATTTGGAACTCTCTGCCTAAAACTCCTGATAAATGTTCAAAAAGTGCTTGGAGGTGCCTTCAGAGAGCTGCAACCTACAGGACAGACAAAGTACAACGGAAAATGGCTGCCAGAGCATGCTCACAGACAGCAGGCCGAATGGCCTCCCTGTCGGCTGCAAACGTCTCTGACAGAAAGGAGTCCTCGCCCAACAAAGAACCCATCTATCTCAGCCCAAGTTCTCGGATTCCGATCAAGGAATGCAGACTGCAAAAGATCTTTCCTTGCTCTGGGCGTTTCGGCTGAGCCTCTTGGTTCCTGGGTCATTCAAAAGGAGGCAACTGTCGCCCCGAAGACACACTGCTGGGCTTGTCTGTCTCCACAAGATCTTCATTGTTTGGAAGGTTCCATCAGCACATACTTCAAATGTTTTCTGGGTGATGAATCTTTAGACGGTTGGCTCGGATAGACTCTGGAGTGCTTGAATGATGCCACTGTGACCAGTTGGAGGAGGACTCAGGGTCCCACAGACCAGGAGATAGTGCACATCCAAGGTTCTAGCCAACAGGCAGGACGCCACCTCCTTCAAGGAGGTAAGAATGGGCACCGTTTAGCGCTTGTTCTTTTTTAAAAAGATAGGAGATGGCTTCCTATTATCACCAACATCTTGTTGCTGCTCCCACTGCCTCTGTGTGGTGTTTTGACCAAGTGAGTAAGGGCTGTGGAATCTGTACCCTGGCACAGAAAACATAGCGAACAGGAACAGGCTGCGCATTCCCTCCTCTTCAACCAATATCACTGAAGAAATAATGGGGAGGGAATGGCCTAACGGTCTTATCACTAGACTATTAATCCAGAGACCCAAATATTGTTCTGGGAACCTGTGTTCAAATCCCATCATGGCAAATGGTGGGAATTTGAATTCAAGAAAAATCTGGAATCGAAGAGTCTAATGATGACCGTGAAAACGTCATCGATTGTCAGGAAAAAAAACACATTGTTTCGGATTTCCAGCATCCACAGTTCTTTCAGCTTTTTGTTTAGTGACAAAGAACATCTAGTTCACTAATTCTCTTTAGGGAGGGAAATCCACCATCCTTACCTGGTCTGGCCTGCGTGTGACTCCAGACCCACAGCCATGTGGTTGACTCTTAACTGTCCTTTGAACTGGCAAAGTGAGCCGCTCAGTTCAAGGGACAATTAGGGGATAGGCCTTGCCAGCAAGGCACTCAGTTCTAACAACTGCCTACAAGGGCAACTACAGATGGGCAATCGACACTAGCAACGCTCAAATCTCACATGTGAAGTAAATAAATGTAACCTGGGTTGCGAATGCATTAGGATCTTGCCTCTCCTGGCTTAAAGCTCGTGGGCAGTATCTGCAGATGAAGGCGAGGGGTGTTTACCCACCTGTACAACGCTGTGGAGATCCTCCGGGAGCACACGCTGAACCTCAGGCAGTACTTGCCGGCCAAGGTCTGGGCGCCCAGAAGCATGTCACACCGTCACCCCACAGGTTCCTGCCCTCCTTGCCTGCAGTAAACAGCGAAAAAAAAAACAGGAGGGGTTAATAAAGCACAAGTCATCAGGAGATTTCAGCATATCCCTGGCAAGACAGACTGTAGGAAGCAATGTCAAAGAAAGGAACTCCATCTCAGTGTCTTTATCTACCCTAAAGACTCCATGGCTGCCATCGGAGGAACAGTAGAGGTAGCGCTCCCTGATGTCCCAGAACTAGCACTTATGCAACATTTGACATTGCTTTAAAAAAAAGAGATGACCTAGGCCATTAGAACATAGAACATAGAATATTACAGCGCAGTACAGGCCCTTCGGCCCTCGATGTTGCGCCGACCTGTGAAACCAATCTGAAGCCCATCTAACCTACACTATTCCATTATCATCCATATGTTTATCCAATGACCATTTAAATGCCCTTAAAGTTGGCGAGTCTACTACTTTTGCAGGCAGGGCATTCCACACCCTTACTACTCTCTGAGTAAAGAACCTACCTCTGACATCTGTCCTATATCTATCACCCCTCAATTTAAAGCTATGTCGCCTCGTGCTAGCCATCACCATCCGAGGAAAAAGGCTCCCACTGTCCACCCTATCTAATCCTCTGAGGCCATTATTCAATTGCTGATTATGGAAGTTTACTGTGTGCAAACTGAATGTTGTACGTTCTGTGTTCCATTAGAGACTGCACTTCAGAAATACATAATTCAATGTAAAGTGCCCGAGACCAGGAAAGTCCTTTGTTATTAGATTAAGTAAAGTTGAACCTTAACAGGAAATAAGAGGAGATCAGTGAGGGTTTAGCTTTGCTTGTCGGACCTAGCGTCTATGAGTTAGAGAGGATAAGACATGGAGTGGGACCTGATCTCCTTTGAGCTTTGTCAAGAGAGGAGACAGATATTATCAGAGCAGAAGAATCCTTTCCTGTCTGGTCTGATGCCCGGAGCATTCAAAGAGACTCAAGATTCATTTGCTGACCTCTGTGCAGAATCTTAACATCCTTGGGTGCACATATTCTTGTCTACAAAAGATTCAATATAGGAACTTACAGAACAAGGAATAAACCACTCAGCCCTTTAGTCCTGCTCTGCCATTCAACACCATCATGTGATTGGTTCCCGATAGCTGTGCAGTTTATTCATAGATCTACATGGTACAGAAAAGGCCCTTCGGCACCAATGTAGCTACCACTAAAGAATTGCTAATTCCAATTTCCTGCACTTGTCCCATATCCTTGAATGTTATGAGATCTGAAGTTCTCATCCTAATTTTTTTTTAAAAAATGTTTGTAAGGTTTCTGGCTTTCACTACCTTCCCAGGCAGTGCATTCCAGATTCCACCACGCACTGAATGAAAAAGGTTTTCTCCAAATCCCCTCTGAATCTTCTGCCCCTTTACCCTAAAACTATGCCCCCCTTGTGATTGACCCTTCAACCAAGGGGAACAACTGTTCTCTATTCACCCCATCCATACCCCTCATAATCTTATACACCTCAATCATGTCCCCCATCAGCCTTCTCTGCTCTAAAGAAAACAATCCAAGCCTATCTAGTCTCTCCTTATGGCTCAATTTCTCCGTCCCAGGCAGCATCCGCTGTACCCCCTGTAGTGAGGCGATTGGAGTTGCACACAGTACTTCTGCTGTGGCCTAACCAATGCTCTGTACAACTCCAAGGTTACCTCCTTGCTCTTGCAGTCTATGCAGGCTGGGGCTGTGAACAAGATGGGGAGAAGTCTTCAGACCTCGGCAAGCTCAGGAGTTCTCCCATTTCTCTGCGGTAAAAACCACTCTAAATTTGGAAGAAAACCAATTTGTTTTCCCTTCAGCGCTTAGTGGAAGCTGTGACTTTTACTGACTATATCAGAGACCTCTAAGCGTAAACCAGTGCATCCTGAATGCATGGGGAGGCAGATTGAGAAACAGCTTTCTGATCAGATTCAGCTCAGGAGATCCTGCAAACGGGACTACTGAGCTGCTTCCTGGTTTATCTCTCCGTCTATAACACCCATGGTTTTGCCTTTCCCCTGTCCATGCCTGTCTGTGTGTGTGTGTACAGGAGGAGTTTATAGAGAGATTTGAGTTTTAACTAGTAGAGGCATACGTCAACATTCCATAACTATTTAAAGACAGTTAGAGTCCATTTGTCATAAACAATTGCTCCTGTGAAGGAGAGAGACCTGGTCCATACTTTCTGTGAACCAGGATCTAAAAGACTGGTCAACTGGCGTATTCTGCATCCCTTTCAAAAGCTTCAATTTCTGTAACAACTTCAGGGGCTTGATTTTCAGCGTTCTGCCCAATCACTCAACCAATCTTAATCCCTGTGCAGCCTTCCTATATCCTCTTCACAGCTTACTTTCCAACCAATCTCGGCATCATCCACACATTTAGCGGCCACATCTTCAGTTCTTCCGCGATGAGAGGGCAGGCGACTTGCCAAAATGTCCCAGCAGCCGCGCATTTCGGATAAGCGAACAGAACAGCACGGACTGTGGCAGATTAAAGGCAGTGCCTCACCCAGAGGGGGCAATTAGGGACGGGCAACAAAAGCTGGGCGCAGTCAGCGATGTCCACATCCCGTGAACGGTAAACAAAAGGTTTATAATCCAGGAGTCTCGACTGGCTTTCCACATGGACAGGACAACATCTCAAGACAATTTAGAACAACATCGGCCGCTCGGATGTGCGTAGAAAGACTAACAGATACCTGGAATTAATTCTGAAGCATAAAATGCCAAAAAACACACCGGATGATGGGTGACCCAGAAGAACAAGAATTCCAAAGGAGTAGCTGGACCTTCACAGATTTGGTAAAAGATGTTTCTGAGACAGGAAATCCCATAGCGACTGCTAGGTCACAGTGACACAGCATTCCCCCTGATGTGGGCCTGAGCTGCACACATCCAAGGTAGGCCCTGCCCCGACCAGCCAACCCCATTGTGACAAAAGCATGGTGCTCACTGATTTCAAAATAGGCATCACTTGGTTTATTTTCCATTCGTGACACTAGGAGAAAGATGCTTTTGGTTGGGGGTTGTGGGTTTGGTGGTGGGGGTGGAGGGCGCAAGGCAAGAGGGAAGGAGTTACATGCTGCCACGGCCTCACAAGAGGAAACTGAAACTTCAGCTGTGACGCCCTCTGCAGTGCAATAGCCTGTATATATACACACATATGTGCATACACACACACACACCCCTTGCTCAGCTCCTGTATGGCAGGAATCCAGCCCAGGAAGGCAACTGGTGAACTGCGCCACCCATTGCATCTGCAGCCCATGAAAAGGGTTAAGAAAAATAACGTAGGCAGGCTGTAAAAATTCCACCCCAATGCTAGATTCAACGGGAGAAACAGAAAAATGCAGATTCAGCACTGATTCAGGTCATCTCAATTCAGGCCTCGACCTCGATATGGCCTCAGTGGCGGCTCAGTGGGCAGCACAAGGACCTGGGTCTGAGTCCGGCCTCAAAAGGCCACATCACTAAAACCCAGTACCAATACAGAGGGAGTGCCGCACTGCTGGAGGGTTGGCGCCGAGCGAGCACCACACTGCTGGAGGGTCGGCACCGAGGGAGCGCCGCACTATCGATAGGCCAGCAGTGGACGGAATTTGGTATTGTCATAGGGTCAATGTGCATTCTGCATCGTATAGGGTTCGAGATGAGTGACTTCCACCCTGTGGGAGGGAGCGTCTTTTAGTTGGGCTAGTGAACTGAGGCTCTATCTTCTCTCTTGGTGTGAGTGTACGAGATCCCACAGCTGCTATCAGAGGAAGGACAGTGGGGAGTTTACGGCAGTGTCCAGAGGCCAACATTTATCCCTCCATCAACATTGTTAATAACGACAGATGATTTGGATCATTCGCACATAGCTGTGCACAAACTAACTGTCATTTTCTTACATTAAGAGCAGTGTCTGTACTTCAAAAAGTACACCATTGGCTGTAAAGTGCCTTGCAGCGTGTGGAGATGATGAAGAGACTTCTACAATTTGAAGTCGGTAGATTGAGATGAGGAAAGCTGGGAGAGGGCTTGACAGCAGCAGGACCTGTTGGACAGAACGGCCTGCTCCTGTGCCGTCTATATTACGTAGAGTCTTTTCCATTTCTTGTCATCCCCTGGACCATCTGACTCATGTCAGGGTCTCCCCTTGTGCCCTCCAGGTTTCCTGCAGCCAACTGTTGGGACCCGCAATTAATTTTGAAAACATACAGGAGTGTTCGCACAAGCAAAGCAAACAGTCGTCAAATTAAATCAATGGAACTTCTGACCCCTTCACTTCCTCCCAGTTGGGAGTTAACGACATGAACCGTATGTACTCACTGAAGTGACAGATGATAACGGGATTTGTTTATGGTGAAGTCCAAACTGGGGAAATCCTACAACTGTTCCGTGGCCCGATGTTGTCTGAAAGAGCAAGAGTAATTGATTTTGTGAGGCAGAAACCATGTCAACCAAGGGCTTCGGAAGGACATAACTTCGAGGCATTTACACAGAGGCTATTGCCTTCAAACTGCAGAATGGTTCCATAACTGTCCAATGACACAGAGGTTTATCTCACACAGGCACTGATGCGTTTTTATTTAAAAAAAAGCAGTGGCCTTTTAACATTCCCTCCCTGAAATACGGTCTCAAAATACGCCACCACAACCTTCTCAATTGTGGGATCTTCCCATGTGAACTGTTTACTTGTGTTTGGGGAGGGGGGTTGTTGACAAGTTACAATAAAATCCGCTTCCTCCCCTGTGCCCTGCAATGCCATCCTCCCACTTCTTTTAAACAAATGTCACTGGGAGACAGGGGGAAGCTGCATTAGCAAATGGTTTTGTCCCCCCCCTGAGCTCAGGAAGAATCACAGAGCTGGGATTGAATCGTGGAGGACTGGCCTCCACAGCAGCAAGCCCTTTAGTCCATCATGGCCTCGGATGGTGCCTCTGAAAGTGCCATCCTGTTCCTCCCTCTCCCTCCCTCTCTCTCCTCTTCCTGAAGCCTTACAACCTTTCTCTTCTTTCACACGCAGTAGGGATATATCCGCACACTGCAGCTTCCCCCCGCCGCCGATGAAAACACCACAAAACTTTAGGTCCATGCTGTTCTCTCTAAAAACAATCATCACTTTACCCCTCAGCAGACCACAGAAGACGTTCTGCACTGTTTGAGCAGATCACGGTGTGGAACCATGTCACAGGACTGGGGCAAAGTCAAAACAAACATTGCTGCGCTCAGAAACACAAACATTTATCAGTTCAGTTTGGATGCCACTAGTTCTATGATATGTTGGGTTGCTCTTACAAGATTGCACCGCAGCACGGAAAAAGACCCTTCAGCCCAACTTGTCCGCACTGACAAAACATTCCAAACAGACCTAGTCCCGTCTTCCAGCATTTGGCCCGTATCCCTCTAAACCTTTCCTATCCACATATCCATCCAGATGCCTTTTAAATGTTGTAATTGTACCCATCTTCACCACCTCTTCTGGCAGGTCATTCCATACACGCACCACCCTCTGTGAGAAAAAGTTGCCAATTAGGTTCCTTTTAAATCTTTCCCCTCTCACTTTAAACCTAGTTTTGGACTCTAGTACCCAGGGAAAAGGCCTTGGCTATTTACCCTGTCCATGCCCCTCATAATTTTATAAATCTCTATAAGTTCACCCCTTAGTCTCCAATGCTTCAGGAAATACAGCCTCAACCTTTTCAGCCTCCCCCTACAGCTCAAACCTTCCAATCCTGGCAACATCCTTGTGAATGTTTTCTGCATCCTCTCAAATTTAACAACATCCTTCCTATAGAAGAGCGGCCAGAATTATACACAGTATTACAGAAGTGGCCTCAATAATGTCCTGTACAGCCACAACATGACCTCCCGACTCGTATACTCAATGCACTGACCAATGAAGGCAAGCGTACCAAACACCTTCTTCACTATCCTGTCTACCCGGGACTCTACTTTCAAGGAACTATGCATCTGCACCCCTAGGTCTCTTTGTTCGGCAACACTCCCCAGAGCTCTACCATGGTCTTCTACCCTCTGTGTGCCTGCCAGAGCAGATTTTCCGTCGAGGTCGACTGGCGCTAGTGTAGCTCGAGGGACGCTCTATTGTGTCCGAGATTTAAAAATCTGGGGTTACAGCAAGGTCTGTCAAACTTGTGGCCCAATTTCTTTCATCTCCTCAGGCCTGCAGACAATCTGTTGCTATCACATTCGACCCTCAAGCAGAAGGAGCTATGGTGTTTTCCGAGCTGGTCACTGCAGCAGTTCCTGCCGCCATCAGCTCCCTAACATTTGAAAATGGCAGACTTTGCACTCATCAGACTGCCAGCTGAACTGCGAAAGAACAAAAGGCTGCCCATTCAAGATGGTGGCACTGACCACCCCACAACATGGATGGCCCTCCAGTGTCAACCTAAGTGTCTTCTAGAGTCATACAGCATGGAAACAGACCCTTCGGTCCAACCAGTCCATGCCAACCATAACCCCAAACTGAATTTGTCCAACCTGGCTGCAATTGGCCCATATCCCTCCAAACATTTCTCTTCAAGATAAGGGAGCAAAACCTGCTCAGGTGGACACACAAACAATCCCAAGGCAGTCTTTGAAGAACTGTAGAGCTCATGAAGACAACACAGAAAGTAGGAGGCCATTCAGCCCACCCAGGCTCCTTGGACAGTCAATCATGCTGAGTCCCACCTCCTGCATTTTGTCCATTACCCTGTGAAATCTCAGGGTATTTTCCCGTCCAAATCTCTCAAAGTTATATCTGTCAAATCAGCTTCCTCTAGCTTGTCAGACGGAAAGTTCTGGATCCTAGCAACTCTGCGGGAAATTATTTCTCTCATCTTGCCTTTAGGGCTTTTGTTGGTTAGTTTTGATCTGACTTGTTTACGGACCCACTAACAGAAGGAATAGATAACAGTCATAACAGGTTTACAGCACAGAAAAGGGTCCAAATGCCTGTTATTTACTATCGAAGAAAAGGCTTGCATTTCCATAGTGCCCCAGCAAGTCCCAAAGTGTTTTGCAGCCAATGAAGTGGGACATCTTTGACGGGTACGGTCAAGAAGGCACAACAACGCCTCTTCTTCCTCAGGCGGCTCAGGAAGTTCAGCATGTCCATAAGGACCCTCACCAACTTTTACAGATGCGCCATAGAACACATTCTATCCAGGTGCATCACGGCTTGGTACAGCAACTGCTCTGCCCAGGACCATAAGAAACAACAGAAAGTTGTGAACACAGCCCAGACCATCATGGAAGTCAACCTCCCATCCCTGGACACCATTGGTACATTTCATTTCTGCGGAAAGGCAACTAACATCATCAAAGACTCCTCCCACCCTGGTAAATACTCTCTTCCAACTTTGTCCATCAGGCAGAAGCTTACACACACATACCAACGTGTTCAAGAACAGTTTCTTCCCTGCTGCTGTTAGACTGCTGAATGGACCTCGCTAATTTCAAATCTAGTGTTGATTTTGTTTTCATGCATCTCCTGTACAGCTGTAACCTTGTATGCCTCGCTCTAAGCGCCCATGATCTGTATGTCCTTGTATGTTATGATTTGCCTGTACGGCATGCAAAACAAAATGTTCCACTGTAATCTGGTACATGACAACAATAAATCAAATCAAATCAGGGTAGGCACTGTCATAATGCAGTGTTTAACAAAGCCAGCTCCCATGAACAGCAATGCAAAAATGACCAGATCACCCATTTTCTGTGGTGATTGATGGATTAAAACAAATAATCGGCCCCAGGACACCAGGGTGGGGAAAAACTCCAACTCTGCTCTGCTCCAAAAATTGTGTTGTGGGAACCTGTACCTTGACCTGAAAGGGAAGAACCTTGCTATAAAAATGCTGGACAAACCTAGCTGTTCTGGCTGCCTCCATTTAGAGAGAACGGAGTTTAAGTCCACTATGCTTCATCTTCATGCCTTAAAGGCATGCGAAAAACCATGCTCAGCTCAGCCTCACTCCCTCCCAGCCCTTACTCATAGATATATACAGCATGGCAAAAGACCTTTCGGTCCAACTTGTCGCTGCCAACCAGATATCCTAAATTAATCTAGTCCTACTTGCCAGCATTTGGCGCTTATCCCTCTAAACCTTTCCTATTCCTATACCCATCCAAATGCCTTTCAAATGTTGTAATTGTACCAGCCTCAACGATTTTGTTTGGTCGCTGGTTTGATATACACACCAACCTCTGCGTGAAAAGGTTGCCCCTAAGGTCGCTTTTAAATCTTTCCTCTCTCACCTTAAACCGATGTCCTCTAGTTTTGGACTCCCTTAACCTAGGGAAAAGACCTCGGCTATTCACCCTATCTATGCCCCTCATGATTTTATAAACTTCTTTCTGGTCACCCCTCAGCTTCCAAAGCTCCAGAGAAAATAGCTGCAGCCTATTCAGCCTCTCCCTATAGCTCAAACCCCTTTAACCCTAACAACATCCTTATAAATCTTTTCTGAACCTTTTCAAGTTTCACAACATCCTTCCTACAGCAGGGGGACCAGAACTGAATGCAGTATTCCAAAAGTGGCCTCACCAATGTCCTGTACAGCCGCAACGTGACCTCCCAATTCCTATACTCAATACACTGGCCAACAAAGGCAAGTGTACCAAACACCTTCTTCACTATCCTGTATACCTGCAACTCCACATTTAAGGAGCAATGAACTAACACTCCAAAGACTTTTAGTTCAGCAGCACTCTCCAGGACCTCACCATGAAGTGTATTAGTCATGCCCCGATTTGCCTTTCCAAAATGCAGCACCACACGTTTATCTATATTAAACTCCATCTGCCACTGCTCGGCCCATCTGATCAAGAACCCTTCGCACTCCGAGGTAACCTTCTTCGCTGTCCACTACACCTCCAATTTTAGTGTCACCTGCGAACTTACTAACCATACCTCCTGCTTCCACATCCAAATCATTTATATAAATGACGAAAAGCCAGGGACCCAGCACTGATCCTTATGGCACACCAGTTGGCAGTCAGGGGATGGGTGAAGAGAAAGGAAAACAAAGCCAAGATATTCCAGGCGGTTGGAGAGTTGGGGGCGGTCAGGAAAGACTCGATTTGTGTTGAGATGCCAACTGATTTAACCCATGCCACCCCACCCTGATGGCAACCAGCCTAATACAGTGTTGACGGTGCGTGTTGGTGCTCCCTCACCCTCTTCTGCCCCATCCCAACCACGTCCTTCCGTTCCAGCCCAGCAAGTGGAGAGGGGGCCATAGGAGTTCACAGGAATAAATGGTGGGGCCAGAAACAAAATGGCGGGGACAGGGACCTTCCCTTCAAAGGAGGAAGATCCCTGAAGGACAAGGAAATAAACAACACTTCCAGGTTCCAACAGAAAAAACGAGAGATCATTTTTCATAAAAGACGAAAAGTGGAAGTTCAGATTGAAACGTCGTCGCCTTCCAACTTTACAGGCCTCGCGGACACGGGTCGAGGTACCTTTTGGTGCTTGACCGTTTAAAAAGGGCAGCAAACGTCCCGTCCGCCGACCAGCGCCCGCCTTCACCTGGGCCGGCGCCATGTGTGCGCATGCGCGGCGTCCAACATAAAGGGGAGGCGGGGCTTATGACGAAGGGGCGGATCGGTGAATGGAAAGGGCGGGGCCCAAGGTGAAAAGGCGGGGACATAATGGTCAGAGGGCGGAGCGGAGTGTTGTGGGTGAGGCCGCGACCGAACGCGAGCCCCGCCCTTCACGGTGACGCTCCCACTGTCGACCTATCGAAAAGGCTCTCTGGCCGCCGCGCCCCGCCTCCTCCAATGCCCCGCCCCGCGGGACGTCAATAGGCCGGCGGTTGGCCTTCGAGGCAGAGCGTCGTAAGGACACTTGCCTCCTCTCCCCTCCCCCCCCCCCCCCGAAGCGATTGGCGGTCGAGTTCGAAACGTGAGTACAGAGCATGCGTCTTGTCGCGCGCTCCGGGTGGTGAGGTGGAGCGGCTGCGGTGGGTGGGCGAAGCTAGGAGCGCCCTATCTAGTTAAATAACCGAACACTAGCCGGCCTCCTTCAGACTTATTACTTCGAGGACAGAGAGGTAAAATGAGTGGATTAGCGAAAGGAATGAGTTGGACAGGAATGAAAGGTGGTTTTCTGGAGTGTATGGAACTAAATGCAGTGGGTGTCCAAAGAAACATGGTGGTTTGGGTGCACAGATCTTTGAACTGCCACGAACAGGTGAGGAAAGTAATCAAGGTGGCTATAGGAATGCTGGCCTTTATATTGAGAGGAAGTTTGCGTCGCATATAGATAGGGTGTTTACAAAGGTGTTTAGCACGCCTGCCTTCATTGGTCAGACCTTTAAGTATAGGGGTTGGGAAATCATTTTGAGGTTGTACAGGATGTTGGTGAGGCCTCTTTTGGAGCACTGTGTGCAATTCTGGTTGCTCTGTTCTAGAATGGTTATTGTTAAATTGGAGAGAGTTTGGAAAAAATTCACCAGGATGTTGCTGGGAATGGAGGGTTTGCCTTATAAAGATAGGCTGGAACTTTTTTCAGTGAAGTGTTGGAGTTTGAGAGGTGACCTTTATAAAAGTTTATGAAATTATGAGGGATATATATAAGGTTAATGGTAACTGTCTTCTCCCTAGGATGGGGGATTTCAAGACTGGATGCATTTTTAAAGTGAGAGGAGAGAGATTTTGAAAAAGACATGGAGGCATTTTTTTTTGTACAGAAGGTGGTTAATGAGTGGAATGGACACCCTGAGGAAGTGGTAGGTGTGGGAACAATTACAACATCCAAAAGCCATTTAAATAAATTCATCAATTGGATAGGTTTGGAGGGATGTGGGCCAGGAGCAAGCAGGTGGGACTAGTTTAGTTTGACATTATATTTGGGCATGGGTCTGTTTCCATACTGTATGATTCTATGACTGGAGTATAATTACGCAGAGGTTTAAGAAAAGGTGATGACCTAGTGGCAGTAATCAGAAACCCAGGTAATGTTCTGGGAATGCAGGTTCAAATCCTGCCACAGCAGATGGTGGAGTTTGAATTTAACAAAGAATCTCGTCATGAATTCATTGTTGGAAAAACCCATCTGGATCATCAATGTCATTTAGTGAAGGAAACTGCCACCCTTACCTGGTCTGAGCTACATGTGACTCAAGAGTCAACCACATTGCTGTGCATCTGAACTGCCCTCTGGGCAATTAGGGATGGGCAATAAATTCTGGCCTGGACAGAAATGCCCATATCCTGTGAGTGAATTTAAAAAAAACTTTTGAGTAAAGTGAGCAGATCTGGGCACCACACCTTAGGAAGGACATATTGGCCTTGGAAGGAGTACAGCAAGAATGATACCTGGACTTCAGGGCTTAAGTTATGAGGAGAGATCATACGAGCTTTTCTAATCAACTTGTTCAGGGCTGTTATTACACATCTCTGGAACAGGTGGGACTTGAACCCGAGTTTCCTGGTCCAGGGTTAGGGGTGCTACCACTGCAACACATGAGGGCCCTTTTTTTTTTTGGGAATTTGGACAGTTAAGGGTGATCTGATCATTAACAGGAAAAGACAAGGTAGCTAAAGATAAACTATTCCCACTGGTTGGAGATTCTAGAACTAGGGACATAGTCTGAGAATGAGGGCCAGACCATTCAGGAGAGATGTTAGGAAGCACTTCTACACACAAAGGGTGGTAGAGGTTTGGAACTCTCTCCGCAAATGGCAGTTGGTGCCAGATCAGTTAATTTTAAATCCTGAGATAAATTTTTTTTGTTAAGCAAAGGTATTAAGAGATATGGACCAAAGGCCAAGGTGTATGGATTTGGCTAAGGTCAGCTATGTATCTCATGGACTGATGGAATAGGCTCAAGGGACTGAATGGCCTATAACTGTTCCTGTGTCTTAATCCAGTTTGCTGAGCAGTGAAAATCAGACGGGGGGTGCAGTTTTCTCCCCACCCCTGCCCAAATTTCCTCCCCATTTTCATTAATATTGGTATTGATGTAACATTGGCATTACTACCCCCCTCCCCTCATCTTACAGGCTTTTGGTGGGTTAATATTACTCTATCTGCGAGACAGAGGCTGGTAGAAGGAGACAAGGAATTATTTTGAACACAAACTAATGTAAATATTATGTGTCTACATATTTATTTCCATATTTAATGCCTCTCAAAACCTTCAGGACAAACCAAAAGAATTTCAAAACCCAATTGGGTATTAATGCATCTTTTACACAGTTCATAGACTCGCGTGGCACAATGGAGGAGGCTGTTCAGCCCAATTTGTCTGTGCTGGCTCTTTGAAAGATCTTTCTAATTGTCCCATTCATGGGGCCTCATTATAACTTAGCTGAAAGATAGCACCTCAGAATGTGCAGCATTCCCTCTGCACGGCATTGGGAGTCTGTCAGTGTGATCCACAACTCACTGTCCACTTTACCGTGTCAAAGGATTTGCAGGAGTTTTTGATGACCAATTAATTCCCTCTATTCAATTTTAGCTGATGTCAGTGAACATTTATTTTGCTTTTATTCAGTTTTAACCTCCTGGGGTGCTTACACATAGAGACCATTTGGCCCATTATTTCTGTGCCACCCCTTTGCAAGAACAAATTAGCCCATCCCACTGTTTTGCCTTTGCAATGTCCTTTTATTCGTTTATGGGATGAGGGCGGTGTCGCTGGCTAGACAGCATGTATTGCCCAGAGAGCATTTAAGAGTCAACAACATTGCCGTGGATCTGGAGTTACATGTAGGTCAGACCAGGTAAGGATGGCACTTTCCTTCCCTAAAGACATTAGTGAACCAGATGGGTTTTTCTGACAATCGACAAGGGATTCATGGTAATCATTAGATTCTTAATTCCAGATATTTATTGAATTCAAATTCCAGGATTCAATTCAAATTCAAATGGCAGGATTCGAACCTGGGTCACAGGATATTATCTGAGTCTCTGGATTAACAATCCAGCGATAATACCAATAGGCCATCGCCTCCCCTTATGTAGGCCTGCAAATATTTTATCATCTGATCAATTTTCAATTATCTTTTAAAAGCCAGAATTGAAATCACCTCCCCAGAGTCTCAGGCCACACAAACTACTCACCTTGGCGCTGTTATCAATTACCTTCTGGAGAGAATGTGGGGTAATGTCATTGGACTTGATAATCGAGACGCCTGGGCTAATGCTGTGGAGATACAGGTTCAAATCCCAAAACAGCAGCTAGTGGAACTTAAATTCAGTTCATTAATCCGGAATATAAAGATAATCTCTGTAATGGTGACCATGACCACTATTGTCAGTTGTTCACTATTTATTGTTCTTTAGGGAAAGAAATCTGCTGTCCTTACCTGGTCTGTCCTTCACGTGGCTCCAGACCCACAGCAACGTGGTTGACTTTTTACTGCCCCGTGATATGGCTGTAGTGAGCCACTCGATTCGAGGGACAATCCAGGATGGGCAATAATATCAGGCCTTGCCAGTGACAGGAGTGCAGGGACCCAGTGGCAGCATATGTGCCAGGTCTCCGGGCAAGCCTTGCTATGTGTCAGGATGGGAGAGCAGACCTAGAGGAGGACATCTGGGAGAGGGTTGAACACTTTTGGTAGGACACCGCTTCCCCTTCAGGGAGCACTTCATGGACTATTTATAGCACAATGGGGTTGGGAGGGGGTGAAATAGTCCTCCCAGCCCCCCCAAACAAGATGGTACTTTCTCATTAAACCTTTTCTAAAGAGAAAACCTCCCTGTCGAAACACCCTCTCAGTTACTTGAATTGAATTAGCTTTATTGTCTCATGTGCGCAAATGAATACAGTGAAAAGTGTACCAGTCAGTGCTTATGGTGCCATCTTGGGTACAAAGGTCCCTAAGTACATCTTCTTCAGTTGCAGCTGTTAGACAAATAGAGAAGTAGAATGTTCAGCATTGTATTTATTACGAATAAATTATAAAATGGAGACAGAAAAATAAGTTCAGAACAACGACCTTCTAACCAAGTCCATGCTAGCAGCTAGCCTCCAGTCCATGCCTCCGAGTTCACGAGGCCAGGAAATTGTTCTGGAATCACCTCAAGACTCGAAGTCCACACCGAGGCCATGCTAGGCCGAGAGACCGCCATGTACTGCTGGAAGGCCACCATGCTGAGCTGGAAAATAGCTACGCTGGGACTGATGGGAGACTGCCAAACCAGGCTGAGCAACTCGACGCCAGGCCGCTCGGACACTGCCACACCAGGCCGGGAGGCTGCCAAGCCAGGCCACCATGCCTGGCTGAGAGCACGCCTCATCGGGTCTGCACTGAGGCCAGGAGTTCCAAGACCTTAGCTCATACAGCACTGACTCACCTCCTGCCGACTTTAATCAGATGGTAAGCCTGCCTTTTTGCCAATTGAGAAGGGCACCCTGGTGAACATTCCAACTCAGACTATTCCCCCCCCCCCCCCCCCCACCCATTGTACTGTAAATAGGCCCTGAAGAGGGAGCTGTGTCTCGCCAAAAGTGTTCAACCCTCTCCCAGACAAGAGAAGGATGAAAAGTAAGGATTTGACATACATGAAGGCGACAGTTCCTCACTTCATGGTGGGGAATGATGGTGGCATAGTGGCAATGTCACTGGACTAGTAATTAATGGATCCAAACTGTTCTCCTGGCGACAGGGGTTCTAATCCCACTATGGTAGAAAGTGAAATTTGAATTTCACTGTGGTCCAAAGGTGTGCAGGTTAGGTGGATCGACTGTGCTAAATTGTCCGTCGTGTCCAGAGAATGTGCAGGCTAGTTGGATTAGCCATGGGAAATGCAGGGTTACATGGATAGGGTGGGGCCTGGGGCTGGGGCTGGGTGGGATGCTCTTCAGTGGGTCAGCACAGACCCGATGGGCCAAGTGGCCTGTTTCTGCATTGGAGGGATTCTATGATTGTACAGTGGCCGGTGTGAATCCA